TTACGAAAAAGGACGAAAAGGAGAAAAAAGGATTAAAAAGACGAAAAGGAGGAAAATGAACGAAAAAGGACCAAAAGGACGGAAAGGACGAAAAATTACGACAAAGGACGAAGAGGATAAAAAAGGACGAAAAAGGACCAAAAGAACGAAAAGGTGAAAAAGACGAAAAAGACGAAAAGGGATCAAAAGGACGAAAAGGACGAAGTAGGACGAAAAGGAGGAAAAAAAACGAAAAATGACGAAAAGAACGAAAAAGGACGAAAATTACGTAAAAGGACGAACAGTAGGAAAAAGGACGAAAAGGGCAAACAGGACGAAAAGGACTAAAGACGAAGGATTAAGAACGAAGGACGAAGGACTAAGGACGAAAGACTAAGGACGAAGGACTAAAGACGAAGGACTAAGGACGAAGGACGAAGGACGAAGGACAAAGGACTCAGGATTAGGGATGAAGGACCAAGGACCAAGGACTAAGGACGACGGACAATGGACGAAAATAACAAAAAAGACGAAAAGTACGAAAAATACGAAAAGGACGAAAAGGACGAAATGGATGAAAAGAACCAAAAGGACGTAAAGGACTGAAGGGACGAAAAGGACGAAAAAGGACGAAAAGGATGAAAAGGACGAAAAGGTCGAAAAGGACGAAAAAGGACGAAAAAACACGAAAATCACAAAAAAGGACGAAAATGAGGAAAAAGGACGAAAATGTCGAAAAAGACGAGAACGACGAAAAAGGACGAAGCAAGGACGAAAAGGACCAAAAAGGACGAAGTGGACGAAAAGGACGAAGAGGGCGAAAAAGGACGAAATGGAGAAAAACGAAGGAAAAAAATGAAAAATGACGACAAGGACGAAACAGGACGAACATTACGTAAAAGGACGAAAAGGGCGAACAGGACGAAAAGGACTAAGGACGAAGGATTAAGAACGAAGGACGAAGGACGAAGGACGAAGGACGAAGGACGAAGGACGAATGACTAAGGACTAAGGATTAGGGATGAAGGACCAAGGACCAAGGACTAAGGACGACGGACAAAGGACGAAAAGGACGAAAAATATGAAAAGGACGAAAAAGGCCGACAATGACGAAAAAGGACGAAAAGGACGAATAAGGACGAAAAGGTCGAAAAGGACGAAAATTAGAAAAAAGGACCAAAAAGAGGAAAAAGGACGAAAAGGACGAAAAAGGACGAAGAAGGACGAAATAGAACGAAAAGTACGAAAAAAGGACGAAAAGGATGAAAAGGAGGAAAAAGGATGAAAATGTCGAAAAGGACGAGAAGGGCGAAAAAGGACGAAAAAGGACGAAGCAAGGACGAAAAAAGACGAAATGGACCAAAAAGGACGAAGTGGACGAAAAGGACGACAAAGGTCGAAAAGGACGAAAATGTCGAAATGGACGAGAAGGACGAAAAAGGACGAAAAAAGCACAAAGAGGACGAAAAGGACAAAAAAGGACGAGAAGGACGAAAAGGACGACAAGGACGAAAAAGGACGGAAAGGACGAAAAAGGAAGAAAATGTCGAATAAACGAAAAAGGACGAAAATTATAAAAAGGGACGAAAATGAGGAAAAAGGACGAAAAGGACGAAGAAGGACGAAAAAGAACGGAAAGTATGAAAAAGGACGAACAATAGGAAAAACGACGATAAAGGACGAAAAGGACGAAAAAGGACGAAAAAGGACGAAAAGGACGAACAGGACGAAAAGGACGAAGGACAAAGACGAGAGACTAAGGACTAAAGACTAAAGACGAAGGACGAAAAGGACGAAAGACAAAAATGAGGAGGGACGAAAAGGACGAAGGACGTAGGACGAAAAGAACTAAGAACTAAGGATTAAGGACTAAGGACGAATAACTAAGGACGAACGGCTAAGGACGACGGACTAAGGACGAAGGACCAAGGACGAAGGACCAAGGACGAAGGACCAAGGACGAAGGACAAAGAACGAAGGACTTAGGACCAAGGATTGGGTACGAAGGACCACGGACCAAGGACGAAAAGGACGAAAGGGATGAACAATACGAAAATAATGAAAAGGACGAAAAGGGACGAATAGGACGAAAAAAGACCAAAAGGACGAGAAGAACGAAAAGGACGAAGAGGACGAAAAAGGACGAAAAGGAGGAAAAAGGACGAAAAGGACGAAAAGGACGAAAAGAGCGAAAAAGAACGAAAAAGGACGAAAAGGAGGAAAAAGGACGAAAAAGGACCTAAAGGACGGAAAGGACGAAAAGGACGAAAAAAGACGAACAAGACGAAAAAGGACGAAAAGGACGAGCAGGATGAAAAGGACGAAGGACAAAGACGAAAGACCAAGGACTTAAGACTAAAGACGAAGGACAAAGACGAAAGGCTAAGGACTAAAGACTAAAGACGAAGGACGAAAAAGACGAAGGACAAAAATGACGAGGGACGAAAAGGACGAAGGATGTAGGACGAAAAGGACTAAGGACTAACGATTAAGGACTAAGGACGAATAACTAAGGACGACGGACTAAGGACGAAGGACGGAGGACGAAGGGCAAAGAACGAAGGACTAAGGACGAAGGACCGAGAACTAAGGATTAGGTACGAAGGATCAAGGACCACAAACGAAAAGGACGCAAAGTACGAAAAATACGAAGAGGACGAAAAGGACGAACAATACGAAAAGGATGAAAAGCACTAAAGGGACGAAAAGGACGAACAAGGACGAAAAGGACAAACAAGGACGAAAAGACACGGATAGGACGAAAAAGGACGAAAAAAGACCAAAAGGACGAGAAGGACGAAAAGGACGAAAAAGGACGAAAAGACGGAGAGGACGAAAGAGACGAAAAGACGGAGAGGACGAAAGGGACTAAAAGGACGAAATTGACGAAAAGGACGACTAGTGGCCCCTGAGATTCTTTAAATTTCTTTTAAAAGCAAGGACTATTCCAGGAGTCTTTAGAAACCGTTCAGAAACAAAACACCAGGAGCCCTTAAAATTCTTCAAAACCCTTTTAAAAATAAAACACCAGGAACCCTTGAGATTCTTAAACCTTTTTCAAAAATAAAATGAAAGGGGTCCCTGAGTTTCTTAACTCTTTTTCAAAATAAGGACACTAGGGACTCCTGTGATTCTTCAAAACCGTTTTGAAAATAAAACGCTAGGGTCCCTGAGATAATTAAAACCCTTTCAAAAAACTTTAGAGACTCCTGATATTTTTTCAAACCCTTTGAGTAATAAAACACCCCTAGGCCCTTGAGATCATTTAGGTCTTTTCAAAAATAAAACATAAGGGACCCTTGAGGTGCATTAAATCCCTAGGAGCCGCCGAAATCCTCAATAAACTTTTTCAAAAATAAAACACCGTAAGACCCTTAAGATTCCTTAAATTTTTTTTTTTAATTAAATGCTAGGACTCCTGGGATTCTTTAAAAACCGCTCAGAAACATAACACCAAAAAGGGGTCCCTGAGATCCAAAACCCGGTCAAAAACTAAACACCAGGGACTCTTGAGATTCTTCAAAACCTTTTTAGAAATAAAACACTAAAGACCCCTGGGATTCTTAAAGCTTTTTCAAACATGAGAACACTAGCGACCCTTGTGACCCTTCAAAACCTTTTTAAAAATAAAAGCAAGGGAACCCCTGAGATTCATTAAAACACGTTCAAAAATAGAATACCAAGGGCCTCTGAGATTCCTCAAAACCATTTTAGAAATAAAACACCCCCAGGTCCCTGAAATCCGTAACGTTTTTCCAAAAATAAAACTTAAGAGATCCCCGACTTTCTTAAACCATTTTCAAAATTAAGAACATTTGGGGATCTTGCGATTCTTTAAAATCAGTTCAAGAACAAAACACCAAGATCCCCAAAGATTCTTAAAACACCTAAAACAAAACACTAGAGGCTCTGAGGTTCTTAAAGTTTTTTCAAAAGTAAAACACTGGAGGCTCCTGCGATGCTTTAAAACCCGTTCAAAAGCAAAACACCGGTGACTCTTGAAGTGCTTTAAATCCCTTTTAAAAATAAAACACTAGGAGCTCCTGAGACTCTTCTTAAACTTTTCCAAAAATAAAACATCAATAACCCCTAAAATTCCTTATATGTCTTTTAAAAATTAAAGACCAGGATACTTGGGACTTTTAAAGACCGTTCAGAAACATAACACCAGGGGCCCTTGAAGTGTTCTAAATCCTTTTTAAAAACAAAACATTAGAAATCCATTAAATTTATTTTAAAAATTAAAAATTTCTGAGATTCTTTAAACACCGATCTATTCAAAAAACAACGGCGTTTTTTTTTCTATGCTGTGTATTCTTGGAACAAAAAGACTGCTCTTAGCCTACTAAGAACGGTAATAACCTCTGAGAGATGAGAACTACTGTCAGACTTTAGAGGAGGCTTAGAATGATCAAAAGGAACAGTCCTGAACTTAGATTCCTAAGTTCGCCAACAATATAACTACAACGTCGGATAAGATTCAACTCATCTCAAGCGACATAAAAAACTGGTGCCCGATCGATTCCGCCAACGCCGACTTTATTCCAAATCGGCAAACAACGAAACGACTTTTTTCAATGTTTTGGAATTTGAAACCGATTTGATTTAATGTATTTCATCGTCCGTAAACCAAAACAAACGAAGTGGGCGAAGGAGGAAAGTTCTAAACCCATTAAGAACGGTGATAATCTCTTCGAGACGATAACGAGTGTTTAGACTTTCAAGGATGTCTGAACAAGCCGAGTGCGCAAGAGAAACAATCTCCTCTTTAGTCAGAACTTACACTTCTAAGCTCATCAGTAATATAATTACAACTAGGATAGACCACGATACATGCTTTTATGGTTCGGTGAGTCTACATCAACTTCAGCACCCGCAAGAATCCGACGTGTAGTAACTCGAAGAGAATTCGCTACAATAAGATCCGGCACGCCTCCACCTAAAGCCGAGCAGACGAAAATCCACCCTTCCGTGCACCCTTCCCGGAAAACTAAGAATTATTTTTATTTAAACTCTGCACCTGTGTTTTTATAGTTTTATTGTATAAATTTTGTAAAATAAAATGTTCGTAAAGTATTACGGCGGACTATCAGCTTCGCTGAAGGAATCCAGGAATCTCTCCAAATCTGCTAATCTTTTCGCTTCTCGCTGGATGTGGCGCAAATGGCTCCATCGCAGCTGCTTTAGCTGTTTCAAATACATGGGTTCCTCTAAAAAAAAAAAAACAACGATCAACAACCCAGTTTTGTAAATACAACCCCTTGTTTTTGAACTGTCGTGCTCTAACAACTGTACATTCTAAATGAAGTTTGTTTCTCCCGGTTACGGTGCGAAAATCCGCTTCTCTTCCCCGGGTTTGTGCGTACGTCTTTCGTTTCCCGAAACTGCCGCATCTCAGTGCGTGAAACGAGAATTCTCAAACTTTTATCGGGCTCCCGAAGAGCCGGCCTGAGCCTTGTTAAAAAATAATAATGTCAACACCGAGACCTCACTCACGAGTTTAATGAATAGATTGCGCGCTGTTTTTACAACTTTGCGACTTTCATTCGCATAAAGGGTTTTAATTATGTATGGGAATAGATCTGTTCCTGCTCATTACTTAGCGAGGCAAGTATAAATGTTTGCACGGTTTAATTTATATGGGGGAGAGTATGCACAATATTCAAATATGTATTACCACATTTCCAAAAGCATAACGCGGGTTTGTTCCCTTCGAATGGCTCTTTTTATCAGATGGCAAAAAGAGAAACTTCGTGCACGAACACATTCGTTATGCTACATTTTGCCTCCGTTCGCCGACGCTTAATGCGCGAACTTCGTGTAAGTTTCTGCTTTGCTCTAATAACACGTGTAATAATTTTTGGGACGTGAGCATGCACTAAACAATATTAATAATTTGGAATTGGGTGAAATTCGAAGGATGGCTCGATTGCAAACTACGTACTATCGTACGCAAAATTATTGACTGATAATTCGAAAATAAAACAAGACGAAACCTCGGAATGACACATATAAAAATTATCTTCTTTTTATCTTCTATTTCAATTTTGGGATACTACTTCTACTTTTACATTCGATTTGTTTTTCAAAATATTGCGACTTTTTAAATCTTAAAATTATCGATTTTTCAGTTTTTTGATTTTTCAATTTTTCGAATTTTTAAATTTTAGATTTTTAACTTTTTTGCTGTCTCGATTTCTCAGTCTTTCGATTTTTTGCCTTCTCCTTTTCAGATTTTCCGGTTTCCCAATTTTCCGGAATTAATTAACTTTTCTGTTTTTTGATGTTTCGATTCTTCACTTTTTCGGTTTTTCGGTTCTTTTAAGTTAAAATTTCACGATTTTTAGCTACTTTCATTTTCTCAAATTTTCGATTTTTCGACTGATCGACTTCTCGATTTCGCGATTTTTTTATTTTCTGATTTTGATTTCCCGATTTCTCAGTTTTTTCGATTTTTCAATTTTCCAGTTTTTCTAAATTTTTGGTTATTCCTATTTTTCGTCTTTCTCGATTTTTCGATTTCTCAAATTTCCAATGTTTTTAGATTTTTCGATTCGTTGATGTTCTGATTTCAAGATTTATAAATTTTCAATTTTTCGATTTTTTAAATTTTAGATTATTCACTTTTTTGTTTCGATTTCTCAGTCTTTCGATTTTTTTGTGTTCTCATCTTTTCAATATTTTGGTTTTTCAGTTTTTCGATTCATCGGGTTTTAACTTTTCAGTTTTGAATTTTCCGATTTTTCGATCTTTTGATATCTCGATTTCGCGTTTTTTCAATTTTTCAATTTCGAGTTTCCAATTTTTCGACGTTTCAGTTTGGGGATTCGTGTATTTAAATTTTTCGATTTTTCAATTTTTCAATTTTTGGCGTTTCTAAATTTTTCGATTTTTCGATTTCTCAATTTCTCTGTCGATTAATGGATTTTTAATTTTTTGACTTTCTGAATTTTCGTTTTCTCAAAATTTTGGGATTTTTCGATTTCTCAATTTCTTGATTAATGGATTTTAAAATTTTTTTTTTCGATTTTTCATCTCCGAATTTTCGATTTCTCAATTTTTCGATTTCTCAAATTTATAAAGTTTAAGTCTTGGGAATTTTCAAAATGTATTTCGATTTTAAAATTTTTAGATTTTTCAACTTTCTGCTTTTTCGAATCGATTTTGAAATTTTTCTATTTTTCGATTCGTTCATGTTTGGATTTCTCGATTTTGTAAATTTTCAATTTTTCGAATTTTTCACTTTTTTGTTGTTTCGATTTCCCAATTTTTCAATGTTTCAGTCTTGGGATTTATGTATTTAAATTTTCGATTTTTTTCATTTTTGGCGTTTCTAAATTTTTGGATTTTTCGATTAATGGATTTTTCAGTTTTTTGACTTTTTGATTTTTCGTCGTTCCGAATTCTCGATTTCTCAAATTATCAGTGTTTAAGTTTTGGTATTTTTCAATATGTATTTCGATTTTTAAATTTTAGATTTTACGATTCTCTGTTTGTTTGATTTTTTACTGAATCGATTCTTCAATTTCGCGACATTTTAAATCTTACATTTTTCGATTTTTCAATGTTTTTATTTATCCGGTTTTAATTTTTCTATTTTGTATTTTCATATTTTCCGATCTTTAGCTATTTTGATATCTCAATTTTTCGACTTTTCGACTTATTGATCTTTCGATGTTTCGATTTCGCGTTTTTTCAATTTTTCAATTTCGCTTTCTCAGTTTTCGATTATTCGTCTTTTCAGTTATTCGAGTTTCCTAGTTTTTCGACCTTTCAGTTTTGGGTTTTGGTATTTATGTATTTAAAATTTTCCATTTTTCAATTTTCCAATTTTTGGCGTTCCTAAATTTTTGAATTTTTCGATATCTCAGTTTCTCGATTAATGGATTTTCGAAATTTTTGACTTTCCGATTTTTCGTCTTTCCGAATTCTCGATTTCTCAGATTTTCAATGTTTAATTTTTGGGATTTTTCAATATGTATTTCGATTTTTCAATTTTTCAATTTTTGGCGTTTCTAAATTTTCGGATTTTTCGATTTCTCAATTTCTAGATTAATTGATTTTTTAATTTTTAACTTTGCGAATTCTCAATTTCTCAATTTTTCGCATTCTCAAATTGTCAGTGTTTAAGTTTTGGGATTTTTCAATACGTATTTCAATTTTTAAATTTTTAGATTTTTCGACTTTGTTTTTTTGATTTCCCTCGATTTTTCAATTCTGCGACTTTCTAAAACTTACATTTTGCAATTTTTTGGTTTTTCGATTCCTTGATGTTTTGATTTTTCGATTTTGTAAATTTTCAATTTTTCGAATTTTTAAATATGAAATTTTTCACTTTTTTGTTGTTTCGATTTCTCAGTCTTTCGATTTTTTTCCTTCTCATTTTTAGATTTTTCGATTTTTAAATTTTTCAATTTTAGGCGTTTCTAAATTTTTGGATTTTTCGATTTCTCAATTTCTGGATCAATCGACTTTTAAATTTTTTGGCTTTTCGATTTTTTGTCTTTCCCAATTTTTCGATTTCTCAAATTTTGAATGTCTAAGTCTTGGAATTTTTATGTATTTCGATTTTTAGATTTTTAGACTTCTCAACTTTCTGCTTTTTTGATTCTTTACTTAATCGACTTTTCAATTTTGCGACTTTTTGAATCGATTTTGTAAATTTTCAATATTTCGAATTTTTAACTTTAATTAATTTTTCACTTTTTGTTGTTCCAATTTTCCAATTTTTCAACGTTTCAGTTTTGGGATGTATGTATTTAAATTTTTCGATTTTTAATTTTTGGCGTTTCTAAATTTTTGGATTTTTCGATTTCTCAATTTCTCGATTAATGGATTTTTCAGTTTTTTGACTTTTTGATTTTTCGTCTTTCCGAATTCTCGATTTCTCAACTTTTTAATGTTTAAGTTTTGGGATTTTTCAATATGTATTTCGATTTTTCAATTTTTAGATTTTTAACTTTCTGCTTTTTTGATTTTTTACTTATTCGACTTTCAATTTTGCGACTTTTTGAATCGATTTTTAAATTTTTCTATTTTTCGATTCGTTCATATTTTGGATTCCTCGATTTTGTAAATTTTCAATTTTTCGAATTTTTAACTTTTATTAATTAGTCAGTTTTTTGTTGTTTCGATTTCCCAATTTTTCAACGTTTCAGTTTTGGAATTTATGTATTTAAATTTTTCGATTTTTTCATTTTTGGCGTTTCTAAATTTTTGGATTTTTCGATTTCTTAATTTCTCGATTTTTAAGTTTTTTTGACTTTTTGATTATTCGTCTTTCCGAACTCTCGATTTCTCAATTTCTCGATTTCTCAAATTTTTAATGCTTAAGTTTTGGGATTTTTCAATATGTATTTGGATTTTTAAATTTTTTTCACTTTCCGATTTTTCGTCTTTCCGAATTTTCGATTTCTCAAATTTTCAATGTTTAATTTTTGGGATTTTTCCATATGTAATTCGATTTTTAAATTTTTAGACTTTCCGTTTTTTTGATTTTTTACTTATTCGATTTTTCAATTTTGCGACTTTTTAAATCTTACATTTTTTGATTTTCCAATTTTTTGATTTTTCGATTCGTTGATGTTTTGATGTCTTCATTTTGGAAATTTCTCGATTAATAGATTTTTAAATTTTTTGACTTTTCGATGTTTCGTCTTTAAGATTTCTCGATTTCACAATTTTTCGTTTTCTCAATTTCTCGATTTTTAAGTTTTTTGACTTTTTGATTTTTCGTCTTTCCGAACTCTCGATTTCTCAATTTCTCGATTTCTCAAGTTTTTAATGCTTAAGTTTTGGGATTTTTCAATATGTATTTCGATTTTTAAATTTTTTTATCTTTCCGATTTTTCGTCTTTCCGAATTGTCGATTTCTCAAATTTTCAATGTTTAATTTTTGGGATTTTTCACTATGTAATTCGATTTTTAAATTTTTAGACTTTGTGTTTTTTTGGTTTTTTACTTATTCCATTTTTCAATTTTGCGACTTTTTAAATCTTACATTTTTCGATTTTTCAATTTTTTGATTTTTCGATTCGTTGATGTTTTGATGTCTCCATTTTGGAAATTCTCGATTAATAGATTTTTAAATTTTTTGACTTTTCGATGTTACGTCTTTTCGATTTCTCGATTTCTCAATTTTTCGATTTCTCAATTGCTCGATTTTTAAGTTTTTTGACGTTTAGATTTTCGTCTTTCCGAACTCTCGATTTCTCAATTTCTCGATTTTTAAGTTTTTTGACTTTTTGATTTTTTATCCTTCCGAATTCTCGATTTCTGAAATTTTCAATGTTTAATTTTTGGGATTTTTCAATATGTATTTCGATTTTTAAATTTTTTGACTTTCCGAATTTTCGTCTTTCCGAATTGTCGATTTCTCAAATTTTCAATGTTTAATTTTTGGGATTTTTCAATATGTAATTCGATATTTAAATTTTTAGACTTTCTGTTTTTTGGGTTTTTTACTTATTCCATTTTTCAATTTTGCGACTTTTTAATTTTTACATTTTTCGATTTTCCAATTTTTTGATTTTTCGATTCGTTGATGTTTTGATGTCTCCATTTTGGAAATTTCTCGATTAATAGATTTTTAAATTTTTTGACTTTTCGATGTTTCGTCTTTTCGATTTCTCGATTTCACAATTTTTCGATTTCTCAATTTCTCGATTTTTAATTTTTTGACTTTTTGATTTTTTGTCTTTCCGAACTCTCGATTTCTCAGTTTCTCGATTTCTCGAATTTTTAATGCTTAAGTTTTGGGATTTTTCAATATGCATTTCGATTTTTAAATTTTTTGACTTCCCGATTTTTCGTCTTTCCTAATTGTCGATTTCTCAAATTTTCAATGTTTAATTTTTGGGATTTTTCAATATGTAATGCGATTTTTAAATCTTACATTTGTCGATTTTCCAATTCGTCGATGTTTTGATTTCTCGATTTTGTCAATTTTCAATTTTTCGAATTTTTAAAATTTTAGATATTTCGCTTTTTTGTTGTTTGGATTCCTCAGCCTTTCGATTTTTTGCCTTCTCATTTTTAGATTTTTCGAGTTCTCAATGTTTCGGAAATAATCCTTCAGTTTTTCGATATTTTGATTTTTCAATTTTTCTGTTTATCGGGGTTTAATTTTTCAATTGTGAATGTTCCCATTTTTTGATCTTTAGTTATTCCTTTTGATGTATCTATTTCGCGTTTTTTCAAGTTCTCGATTTCTCAGTTTTTCGATTATTCGAGTTTCCAATTTTTCAACGTTTCAGTTTTGGGATTTATGTATTTAAATTTTTCGATTTTTTCATTTTTGGCGTTTCTAAATTTTTGGAGTTTTCGATTTTTCAATTTTTTGATTTTTCGATTCGTTGATGTCTCGATTTTGTAAATTTCTCGATTAATGGATTTTTTAATTTTTTGACTTTTCAATTTTTCGTCTTTTCAAATTCTCGATTTCTCAACTTTTTGATTTCTCAAATGTTCAATGTTTAAGTTTTGGGATTTTTCAATATGTATTTCGATTTTTAAATTTTTAGATTTTTCGACTTTGTTTTTTTTTTTGATTTTTTACTTATTCAATTTTTCAATTTTGCGACTTTTTAAATCTTACATTTGTCGATTTTTCAATTCGTCGAAGTTTTGATTTCTCGATTTTGTCAATTTTCAATTTTTCGAATTTTTAAAATTGTAGATATTTCGCTTTTTTGTTGTTTCGATTCCTCAGCCTTTCGATTTTTTGCCTTCTCATTTTTAGATTTTTCGAGTTCTCAATGTTTCGGAAATAATCCTTCAGTTTTTCGATATTTTGATTTTTCAATTTTTCTGTTTATCGGGTTTTAATTTTTCAATTGTGAATGTTCCAATTTTTTGATCTTTAGTTATTTCTTTTGATGTATCTATTTCGCGTTTTTTCAAGTTCTCGATTTCTCAGTTTTTCGATTATTCGAGTTTCCAATTTTTCAAAGTTTCAGTTTTGGGATTTATGTATTTAAATTTTTCGATTTTTTCATTTTTGGCGTTTCTAAATTTTTGGAGTTTTCGATTTTTCAATTTTTTGTTGTTTCGATTTCGTAATTTTTCAACGTTTCAGTTTTGGGATTTATGTATTTAAATTTTTCGATTTTTTCATTTTTGGCGTTTCTAAATTTTTGGAGTTTTCGATTTTTCAATTTTTTGATTTTTCGATTCGTTGATGTCTCGATTATGTAAATTTCTCGATTAATGGATTTTTTAATTTTTTGACTTTTCAATTTTTCGTCTTTTCGAATTCTCGATTTCTAAATTTTTTGATTTCTCAAATGTCCAATGTTTAAGTTTTGGGATTTTTCAATATGTATTTCGATTTTTAAATATTTAGATTTTTCGATTTTCTGTTTTTTTGATTTTTTACTTATTCGATTTATCATTTTTGCGACTTTTTAAATCTTACATTTTTCGATTTCTCAATTTTTCGATTTCTCAAATTTTCAGTGTTCATGTTTTGTGATTTTTCAATATGTATTTCAAATTTTAAATTTTCAGATTTTTCGACTTTACGTTTTTTTGATTTTTTACTTATTCGTTTTTTCAATTTTGCGACTTTTTAAATCTTACATTTGTCGATTTTTCAATTCGTCGATGTTTTTTTGATTTCTCGATTTTGTCAATTGTCAATTTTTCGAATTTTTCAAATTTTAAATATTTAAATTTTTTGTTGTTTCGATATCTCAGTCTTTCGATTTTTTGCCTTCTCATTTTTAGATTCTTCGAGTTTTCAATGTTTCGGAAAGAATTTTTCAGTTTTTCGAGTTTTTGATTTGAATTTTAATGTTTATCGGGTTTTAAATTTTCAATTTTGAATTTTCCCATTTTTTTGATCTTTAGTTTTTTCTTTTGATGTATCTATTTCACGTTTTTTCAAGTTCTCGATTTCTCAGTTTTTCGATTTTTGGCGTTTCTAAATTTTTGGATTTTTCGATTTCTCAATTTCTGAAGATTATTTTGGGTAAGTCGATGTTATTATGACAATTTTTATTTTATCATTATTAAATATAGGCTAGCGCAACATTACTGTATTCTAACATTTTCGAGCCCCGGCGTCCTCCTCAAACCAGTGCTCGTATATTGGTATAAAATGTGATAACCTAAGAACGAGAAAAATTGAAATATCGAAAAACTGAAAAATTAAAAAAACGAAAAATTAAAAAAAGGGGGGAGGGAAAGTTGAAAAATTGAAAATTTAAAAAATCGAGCAATCAGATCATTAAGAAATCGAAAAATCAAAAAACTGAGAAATCGAAAAATGTAAGATTTAAAAAATCGCAATACAAAATAGGTAAAAAAATCAAAAACACGAAAAATCGAAAAATTTAAAAGTCGAAATATTATGAAGTCCCAAAATTTATTTTCGAATTGTCAATATTTGTCAGTTTATTCGATTTTTCACTAAGTTAGATTGAGAAAAAAAAAACACCACTTGCAATGTGGGTTGCCTACTTTTACTTTTACAATTATTACCACAGAGTTCCTAAATAATATTTAAATTTAAATTAGAATTTCCATGAAAATTCAAAAAAAGAATTAAAAAAAACCCAAATTACCACTTTTGCAGGCGCACTGGTCCTCTTTCTTCGACGAACTCTCTGGTGCTCCTTCCAAACCCACCACTTTCTCATAATCTTGCGGAAACGGGTGCCGATTAACCAAATCGACTGCTTTCTTGGGACTCATATTCAAAAACTGTAACATAATTAGTAACCCCGATACAAAAATTCACACCGTCACCTCTTGCGTTTTATCTCCCGGAACTGTCCCCAGCTCCTTGCTCAACGCTTTATCAATTAAACTAACGATGTAGCTCTTAGACTTGTGAAGTTCCAAAGCCGACGTATCATCTAAAGGTGGCTTTTGATCTAAGAACAGCGCTTGTTTTTGCCTACTCGTAAATTCCGACCTCATTTGAGGCACCTTTGTCTTTTCGGTTGTCGATTTGTGTCCCTCTTCAACCGCCTGAGTCCCCGCTCTATCAATCCGTTGCAAAAGTAGTTCGAACGGCTCTTCCGGCGCCTGCGTCACCTCCAATTTGTTGACTTTCTCGCTCGTCGCCGCAACTGTTTCGGTCAAATTCGTTTTCACCGCCCTTAATTTTAATACTTTATCTTGCTTAGCCTTCACAGACGCGGGGACCTGATGAAATTTGTGTGCTTTAATGTCAAGTTATTTAACACTTTATTACGAAACAGATTAAAAATATTTTTCTCTCGGGATCCGGTGATTTATACCCGGGATACAGCTGTAAAAGCAAATGTTTCAAGTTTGCCGGAGAAAAAAATTCGTGACCTAACCGCGAAATTTCTAACCCTAGCGAATTTACAATTTACGTAACGTTTTCGTTCAAGAGCGAATCGTACTTTCGGTTTTAGGATTTTCGCCAGGTCGCTCACTCCGGATATCTCGACTTGCTCGGTCTCGTCGTCGTCGTCGTCGTTGAACTTGGTGAGGAAGTTCTCCAGGTCGTTGAGCTTCGTGTTTACGTCGCCTTCGGAATCCACGGGTCGGGTGTCGGTTCTTTTGACTGCTGTTGTTCTCATGACGTAATCGTTAATTGCGTAGGAAGCTTCTTGACCGCGATAATGTTGAATTTCCGTTGAAGCTTTCCGTGGGCGATGGGCTACTGCTGGGTCGGGCTGGCACGTCACCGGAAGACAAAGGGTTGAAGGACGCTTACATAGTTGGGCGGGAGGGCAGCGGTAATATCTGAAAATAGAACAGCTTTTATAAATGCGGATACTCCTATCGGTTTTTTCATCTAATAGTGATGGCTAGTCTCAAAATTAGAAAAGTTGGACGAAATTATCCTTAATAGTTGTAGAAATAAAGTTAAAAAATATTTCTTTTCTCCGACGCATCCTCTGTATACGCAAAAAATTATCAAGTCGAGACTGATTATTATTGAGATCGAGAAAAACTCTGGTCATTTATTTTAGTTCTAACCTGTACTGTTATTTTTTTAATTTCCTCCAAATTAAATTTTAATCCCGGCGCCTCCACCATTTTTATCCAAAAATTAGAACTATTAGAATCGATCTGAACCATCGTCTTTCTGAAAGAAAATTTCATCAGGATCATGAATTTGTGTTTACTTTGATTTATCTCTTCAAATACCCGAGAAAATATCATTTTACGGAAGTTATTAAACTGGGTTAAATTTTTCTGAACTGTGATAAATAAATTTGGTTCTTACGATAGCTGGATTTGTTATTTTGATTATGTCTCAGTTGAAACTTGAGAAAGTATGATTCTAGTATAAATTTTTGAAATAAATTCAACAAAATTAAATTTTAATCCCGGCGCCTCCACCTTTTTTAATTAATCAGAAAAATGAAATGAAAATCTTAAGAAAATTCAGTAATGGCCCTCAAAATCCAAAATGTTTAAAATATTGGAAGTATTTCTTATGTTTTCAAAACTAAACGAATATATTTAGTTAAAATATATCTGAAACATAACTGGCAGTGGAAATTTTAAAATTCCCATAATGCATTAATTTTCAGATTGGAGGAACATGAAAAAATCATAGTGGAGACAAAAATAAAATTTTCGTGAAAAAACAAGTAACAAAAAGTAAATATTCTTTGGTTTACAAGATATTGTTCGATTAATGCTGTGCTCACTAACATGCGACTTTTCAAATTTTAGTGAAGGATAAAAATTTAAAACTGAAAGATATATTTAGTGTTTTGTAGAATAAAGGGAGAAAGTTGAATTAATCAGAAAAATGAACTGAAAATCTTAAAAAAATTCAGTACACTCAAAATCCAAAATGTTTAAAATATTGGAGATATTTTTTATGTTCTCAAAACTAAACGAATAAAATTTAGTTAAAATATATCTGAAACATAACTGGCAGCGGAAATATTGGAAATATTTCTTATGTTTTCAAAACTAAACGAATATATTTATTTAAAATATATCTGAAACATAACTGGCAGTGGAAATTTTAAAATTCCCATAATACATTAATTTTCAGATTGCAGGAACATGAAAAAATCATAGTGGAGACAAAATAACAATTTTCGTGAAAAAAGAGGCAACAAAAAGTCAATATCTTTTGGTTTACAAGATATTGTTCGATTAATGCTGTGCTCACTAAACATGCGAGTTTTCAAATTTTAGCGAATGATAAAAGTTTAACACTGAAAGATACATTTAATGTTTTGTAGAATAAAGGGAGAAACTTGAATTAATCAGAAAAATGAACTGAAAATCTTAAGAAAATTCAGTAATGGCACTCAAAATCCAAAATGTTTAAAATATTGGAGACATTTTTTATGTTTTCAAAACTAAACGACTTTATTTAGTTAAAATATATCTGAAACATAACTGGCAATGGAAATGTTAAAATTCGCATAATACATTAATTTTCAGATTGCAGGAACATGAAAAAATCATAGTGGAGACAAAATAAAAATTTTCGTGAAAAAAGAGGCAACAAAAAGTCAATATCTTTTGGTTTACAAGATATTGTTCGATTAATGCTGTGCTCACTAAACATGCGACTTTTCAAATTTTAGCGAATGATAAAAGTTTAACACTGAAAGATACATTTAGTGTTTTGCAGAATAAAGGGACAAAGTTGAATTAATCAGAAAAATGAACTGAAAATCTTAAGATTTCAGTAATGACATTCAAAATCCAAAATGTTTAAAATATTGGGAATATTTTTTATGTTTTCAAAACTAAACGAATATATTTAGTTAAAATATATCTGAAACATAACTGGCAATGGAAATTTTAAAATTCGCATAATACATTAATTTTCAGATTGCAGGAACATGAAAAAATCATGGTGGAGACAAAATAAAAATTTTCGTGAAAAAAACAGCAACAAAAAGTAAATATTCTTTGATTTACAAGATATTGTTCGATTAATGCTGTGCTCACTAAACGTGCGACTTTTCAAATTTTAGCGAATGATAAAAGTTTAAAACTGAAAGAAACATTTAGTGTTTTGTAGAATAAAGGGAGGATGTTGAATTAATCAGAAAAATGAACTCAAAATCTTAAGAAAATTCAGTAATAACACTCAAAATCGAAAATGTTTAAAATATTGGAAATATTTTTTATGTTTTCAAAACTAAACGAATTTATTTAGTTAAAATATATCTGAAACATAAATGGCAATGGAAATTTTAAAATTCCCATAACACATTAATTTTCAGAGTGCAGGAACATGAAAAAATCATAGTGGATAGAAAAATAAAATTTTCGTGAAAAAACAGGCAACAAAAAGTAAATATTCTTTGGTTTACAAGATATTGTTCGATTAATGCTGTGTTCACTAAACACGCAGCTTTTCAAATTTTAGCGAATGATAAAAGTTTAAAACTGAAAGATACATTTAGTGTTTTGTAGAATAAAGGGAGGAAGTTGAATTAATCAGAAAAATGAACTGAAAATCTTAAGAAAATTCAGTAATGTCACTCAAAATCCAAAATGTTTAAAATATTGGAAATATTTCTTATGTTTTCAAAACTAAACGAATATATTTATTTAAAATATATCTGAAACATGTGCAAATTTTAAAATTCCCGTAATACATTAATTTTCAGAATGCAGGAACATGAAAAAATCATAGTTCCTGATTAAATCAATATCATAAATTGACACATTCAATAATTTTTTTGAGCCACCTGTATAAGCAAATATAAAAAATATTAATGCAATGAAAAATCACAAGTAAAAACTCATCATATTTTGCACATTTCGGGTAGACTTAAGAATTTAACTCGTTACTACGGAAATTTACAATTTAACACCTTAAAATTTCACAAGTTTTTACAAGATTAATAGGGGCAAAATCAGTTTTATCTTAACAAATACTAGGCCCGCTCACCCGCCCCCTATTTTCCCAGAGGATGTCATTTGCCGAAATATGTCTTATCTTAGCAAGTTCTAACCCCGCCCACCCGCCCCCTATTTTCTCAAAAGATATGTCTTTTGCCAAAATAATACTTACGTTAGCAAGTACCAGGCCCGCTCACCCGCCCTTTATTTTCTCAGAAAGTAGTATTTGCTAAGATAAGTTAGTCTTATTTTCGCAAATGACATCCTCTGAGAAAATAGGGGCGGTAGGGCGGGGCTAGTACTTGCTAAGATAAGACTGATTTTGGCAAATGACCTTTCCTCTGAAAAAATACGGGCGGGTGGGCGGGGCTAGTATTTGTTAAGATAAGACAGATTTTGGCAGATGACATATCCGCTGAGAAAATAGGGGCGGGTGGGCGGGGCTAGTACTTGCCAAAATGATGATGATTTTGGCAAATGTCATATTCTCTAAGAAAAGAGAGGATGGGTGGGCAGGGCTAGTACCTGCTAAAATAAAACTGATTTTGCCAAATGACATACCCTCTAGGAACATGAAGGATAGAATAAGGTATATCAATTGGTAAAATCAGTCTTTAACTTGGCAAGTATTGGAAAAAATTTCATCAGGATCATGAATCTGGGCTTATTTTTGATTTATCTCTTCAAATACTTCAGAAAATACCATTTTATAGAAGTTGTTAAACTGGGTGAAATCTGTCTGAACTGTGGTCAATTATTTGGAATCCTACCTATGCTGGATTTGAAATTTTGGTTACGTCTCAACAGAAATTTGAAGAAATTCAATTTCCTTCTCAAGTATCTGATTTTATATGGAAGATTTTTAAACATTTTTGAAATTACTTTAACGAAAATAAAGATTAATCCCGGCACCTCCATCATTTGTATCAAAAATTTACAATATTTGAATCGACCTAGCGCAGAGGCATTTGGAAAGAATATTTCATCAGGATCACGAATCTGTGCTTACTTTTGATTTATCTCTTCAAATACCCGAGAAAATTTCATTTTATGGAAGTTATTAAAGTGGGTTAAATTTGTTCGAACTGTGGTCAATAATTTTGGTTGTTACGTTAGCTGGATTTGTTATTTTGACTATGTCTCAGTTGAAACTTGAAGAAATACACATTCCTTCTAAAATACGTGAATTTCAGTGGAAGATCTGTACACATTTCTGAAATAAATTCAACAAAATTAAATTTTAATCCCGGCGCCTCCACCATTTTTATCCAAAAGTTAAAACTATTAGAATCGATCGTGGCCTGAGAACTTGTTTGATCTACAGACCAGAGCGCACTCAGGCCAATATCGACTCAAAGCGATTTATCTATAAACCGACTTTCGTTAGAGCTGATCTGGTCGACATCCACTACGAAGAACTAACCCGCTTCAATTATCTGGTCGGACTTTACAACGATTAAGTGAACAAAGTTATTGAACATGTTAACAATTTAAAACATAATCAAAAAAAAATCTCAATTTTTTGGATATTTATTTCACTTTTGAGATTTTTGAATATTTCGATTTTTTCGACTTTTCGATTTTTGGACTACTGGATTTTTTCATTTCTCGATTTTTTTCATTTTGGCTTTTCAATTTTTCGTTAAACTGTACATTTTTCAATTCTTCGACTGTTTTACACTTCGATTTCTCAATTTTTCAACCTTTCGATGTTTTAATTTTTCAATTTTTAAAATACTAGGTTTTTCGATGACTCGAGTTTTTATTTCTTCTATACCTCAATTTTTCAATTTTTTGATTTTTTTATTTTCGCTTTTTCGATTTTTCAAATTTTTATTTCTCGATTTATCGCTCGATTTATCCAATTCAATTTCTCGATTCATCAATTTTTCAATTTTTAATTTTTTTCT